CATCCCTCTCTCAGGCAGCAGTAATAATGACACTGTTGGTCACATTGTAGTAGAATACTTCATGCCTTCCTACTACGTTGTCATGCTTCTAAACAAGAACTGCCTCAACGCTGATGGTATTCCAGTCCATATCTTTCCTATATCATCTTTGTGAAATATATGAGCCTCTCACCTTGAACTGGTGTCACCATTTGTGCTAGAGTTCTTTGCTCTAAGCAAGATGAATCCCACTTGGTAAAGTTATATACTTGGTCGTGGCTTAAACGTCAGTCCACACATTGGAGGTGATGTTGCAAAGGTTATGGTTGTAGCTGATGTGTGCAGCGACCTGCCGGAGGCACGTGACATGGTAGGGCTTACTAAAGTAAGTAACACAATGAAAGATTATATTACAATCTTACTAATATGGTCTGCACTTGACTCAGAAAACCCGTTAAAAAATTTTAAAGAAACAGAATATTATAGTCCAAGAGTGGAGTTAATGCAAAAGCCTACCTCGGAGGAAACCACCTGCACCTGTACTGTTGAACTCCCGCATGAATGCAAATCAGCCTACCCTGGCACACAGATTTACGTACACAGATGCTTTAAGTCTCACAGTCCAAACCAAGAGTCTCATCCACACTGAAACATTGTTAACATCATTGCTCTTTAGTGTCTTAATTTTTTAATATGGAAATGAAAGGTTAAAACGTAAAGAGAGTTTCCTCCACTTCAGAAAGCACAATAAAAGCAACTAGCTCAGCATAATCTAGAACACCTACCATCAGCACTTGGGAGTGACCAAGGCTTTCCTCCATGTGGAGAAGAAAAAAATTAAGGCTGACGTTCAGAACACTGTGCTAATTTCTAAATAGGCAGCCAACCCAGTAACACAAGAAAGTACTGCATTTTACATTCCTCTATCTTAATACACACTTCCACTACTAGAAAGATCAGTATGTGAAAAGACGTTAGGGATGGTGTTACAAGAAAAGTGCCAGCACATCACCCCATAAGTAACCTGTGCATGTTTCCTGTTTATCAGTGGCTTCCCAAAGCTGCCCCACCAATGGCTTCAGGCCAGGCGTGCCCTGGCCACTTACCGATCGATATGGCCCAGTGTGTACCTTCCGTGTGGGTCCAACACTTCTTCAACCGTAAACCAGAAATGAAGACAGTGTTTCCCATTAAAACGAATAGCCTCAGTTTCGGGTGACACAGATAAGAGCCACTAGCAGTTCTCACTTTGTTTTGGTGCATGGGCTTATTGGAATTTGTGCCGTTGTAACTAAAAGCAGAATCTGGCAACTACTAGGCATCTGCCTTATCAGAATAATTAAGAAAGAAATACTTATACTGTGTTCGATGTCAATTAATTGTTTAATGAAATCCCCCACAGCCAATAGTTCTTCAGAGTGCTATAAATGTTGACCATCTCACAATGTAATGGTTAAATAGCTGACACTTTAATTTGTGTTGTCAATAGTGTCCTGTTGCATTTTCTAACATGGCAAGAATACAGCCTTTGCAATTAAGTCACCGGATTAGAAGAAACAATGCACGCTGCTGTTTAGTGATCTGCTGTTGCTAGTATAATGAAGAACATCCATGTGTTTTCACCTGTTCTTGCAGATTTCCAGCTTTTCATAGTGTACCCACACCTGAGAGATTTTTATACTTAATGCTTTTGGGACTCACTGCTCAGTGGGGGTTTCTTTTCCGAGCAATTGAGACGTGGGATAACAAAAAAAAAAAAGTTATGGCAGAAAATGCAGCAACTTCAGCTCTCTCATTGCTCTCTGAAAGCCAACAACGGAAAACTACAGTGGGCTGGAGATACTCTACTAAATAATTTATGACATACAGCCCATTCCTGAATGATTTTTTCTGCTAGATGTGCATTAGCACATGGGAGCCTAACACATGGAAAATCTTACCTGGCCTCAGAGAGAAAAAAGTCCCCCACCATTCCAATACCTCAAGCTAGACAAGACCTTTGACTACTTGGAGCCAAAGCTACTGTCTTCTAAAGAGGTTGTGCTATGGTTTGCTTTAACTCTGCTGAATCACAGCTTGGCTTTTAAATACACCTTTGAAACAATCATTATCCAACACAGGCTTTATCTACTACATTCATTGCTTGCATCTCAGCAGACTACTCCTCAAAAATCTGCCTTTGGTAAACATGGCGTTATTCAATGCTACCTCATTCCTAGTCACAAAACTTTCAAAAATCAGGGAAAAACCCTCATCTAAGACTGCATGCTACATTAAAGTACCATGTTTTATTTTTACATGAGGATTTCTGTTCCCTCAGATTTCAGTTGATTACTATGGACCATGCAAAATGCCACAGACCACAGAAGCTACATTTTTGAATGGATGTTTTTATTGATTAATCAGGCATTGATTCAAGTATTGTAAAATAAACAGATTTTGTCTGTTAAAAATGTCCAGAAGAATACCATTCATAGCAAACTTGTTTCCTCATAGTCATACAGAATATGAAATTGTGCAAGAAACAAGCAAAAAAGGAACACCTGACTAATTATTGTCAGTCTGTGTGTGTATATATATATGTATGCATGTACACAAATTACACACTATATTTGTGCATATACTGGTGTGTGTATACCCATACATATGTATACATATATACACAAACATACATGCACCAAGAGTATTGACTGAATTAATAGTCCACTGGAGAAATGTGGCTTAGATCCAAAAGAAATATTCTGTGTTAAAATAAAAATGATACAGCACGGCCTGTAGATAACAGACCATTCTTTTTCCATGGGCAAAAATCATGATCTGTCTTTAGACTTGTGGTCTATCTTTACAGCAAAAATATGTGAGATCACTGGGGATCTTTCCAGATCGATGGTATTACTTCCATCCAGCTCAATCTCTGCTAACATTGTATCGCCAAACACTGAACGGTGTTTTCAGTTTGTCCACTACTGAAATCAGCTTCTAGATTTAATATTTCTGGCAAAAGAGAAGATGCACAGCCTTGCTAAATGTACATTGGTAATACACCCTTTCTTTTTAGGCAGAAACTTGGCAATAATCCTGCATTAAAACTCCTTTCCTCCTGTATCTTTTTATCACTGCTTTGCATCAGTCATCTCCTGTAAACTCATTATAATAATTTTCATGCCATCTCAGCTACCTTGCAAACATCCCAGGCCAGATCATGTGGGCAATGTACATCACACTGTAATATTGTAATATTGTGCTCAATTAAAAAATGTAATGTTTGGGGATTTATTTACTTTTCATTTTTGAGAATATACATTTCTTTATTGTTAAAGACACTATGAAAAACATTGCAGTTCAATATATGTACACATTTTCCCTTGTTTATGTCAACTCTGCAAAGTTCAGTGGCTCCTACCTGTGAACCATGGGATGCTGCCCCAGCTGAAAGCCATGGTACCAGCAACGTACTGTCAGACTTTTCTCCATTTAATCCAGCAGTTAGCAGGGCATGTAAAGGGCAATCAAAGGAACATGGATAGGCATTTATGCCAATAGGCATGCGTGTATTCCTCATCTTGCTCATAAATTTTTGACATCATCATAAGGCAGACTGTAGTACAGCTTGGTACTTGGAGAATCAGTATTTAAAAAATCCGAAGCTGAGCTTGGGACCATTTTACTTTGGACCCATTAGTGAACAAAATGCATTAAGGCATCCTTTTCAAAAGACACCTAAAGCATGGTTATAAATTACTGAGCATATCTTTTCTTAAAGCTGATACTCAATTTGTCCTCTTCTACAGAGGCAGATTTTCACCACTTGCATAGTAGCAACAAAATACTGTAGGAAAACCATTCTTTTAAAGTTGTCATATGCCTCAAGCATTTCCCCAAATGATCATTTATACATACGCATTGTAGTAATTACAAAGGGCTTCTATTCTGTAGAAGGAAAGAGGAAAAAAATGCACCTGATTCAGCGTTGAGATAAAGCAGGTACAACCTCTGCTGCCTTCACTGAAGTTCATCCACCAACACCAGGATGAATGTAGGGCCTTGCCCGTGCAGATTCCTACTGCTGCTGAAAACTTGTTATTTACTCCTCATTCACAAAGAGAGAGAACTGTGCTTTCTCAAACAACCCAGGACAATGATAACTATGAGCAAACTCCAGCTGCAGTGTTTCTCCATACAGCACGTCAGACAGATTTCCTTGCTTTGTTATAGAGATGACATACATAGTGTATGACAGTGAAACATTTGTATTTAATTTAAAATCAATGGTAAAGTGGCGCATGTCTCACTTCCGAGCTGTTGGCTGGGCTTGCTACGTTGAACTTTGTAAAATCAGCAATAAACATTCACATATCTACCATCAGAATCATGACACCTTCCATTACAATCAATCCTTAAGTGATGCTGTGCTTTATCAAATTAGTCTACAGTCAGACCTTGGATTGGCTGCTCTCCTCCAGTGTTGCTGATTTTCAAAGATGGTATCAGTCTTTCACATCCTCAGTGGTTCTACAACGTTTCCCAAAGATGAAGGTGAAGCACTGGTAGGTGGGAATGTTGCCATCAATAAAATAAATCACCAGCTGATTTATCCACTGACATTTCTAGGAGACATTCCGCATGTTTTTTTATGAAAAGAGAGAGCACTGCCCTGTGAACAGAAGCAAATTAAAATTTCTTCTTTTGCTGTGTTGGCTAGCTCCACTTCCTCACTGTTTATTTTTGTTCTTTTTGATCTGCACACTCCCATGTGCAAAGTAGAACTTAGGAGATCTCACGCTCAATAAGACTGGTACTGAGAGCACTAATATTGGCGTGAATAAAACCAGCAGTATACCGACTTGTCCACTGCGCAGTTTTCATCCTTCCAATTTCCTGCTTTTATCCACTGTAAAATAAAATGATGTAAAGGCTGATGAAACTTTAGTTAATAGGACCATCAATGTGCAAAACAAGTAAGTCATTTTCCAGGTGTCCAAACCAGGCTTTCCTTTCTCTCCCTCTCTCTTTTTTTTTTTTGTATAAATAATTTATATATCTTCCTGTAAGAGACTAAATACAAAACCGACCAACCAAAACCAACTGCAAAGGAAAGTTCTAAGATATTATTAAAGCCACTTCTTGTCCTTCCGTACAAAGCACACGGTAAAGAGATATTTTCCCCTTTCCAGTTCTGGCCCGATTCAGCAGTGACAGCCGGGATGCTGTGCGGTCCACCAGCTCCGGGCAAGCTCCTGTGGGCAGCTGCTTGGCCACCCTGGGAAGACACATCGTCCTACCTTTTGGCTTTTAGCAGTCAGGCGAGCTGCTCAGAGGAGTCTAGATGGTCAGGGATAGGCAAGCCAGTTATAATGGTCAAACACTTATTCCACACAGTGAACGTGGGGCACACTGGCTGCCCAAATGTAATGTCAAAAGTGTAGAGGTGTAGGGAGTTCAAAGCATCATAAAAAGCAAGGGAACCGTTGTCATAGTCCAGCAAAATCCCAACCCGCCGGAGGTGAGGCGCAGGCTCGATGGGGATTTCTTTGCTATTGTGCCGCACAACCCATGTGTTATTGCAGCGGCAAAGCACCCAGGAGGCAGAATTCTTCCCAATCCACTCATGCTTCGGGGCTGACTTGTAGGAAATACCAATGGCATACCTGCAAAACAAAAAACAACTCAAGGAAACAAATGCTTCCTGCCATGTTTGTCTCTCAGTGAAGCCAAATTTTAGCCCAGAGGACTCACCAGAATGCCCCAGCCACTTACTGCTGTTGGTTAAGTTCTAATTAAGTGACATTTCACTGCAATATCTGCCCAAGATTAATTAATGTTTTTCCCCATTTCTCTTTTGGGTCTGAGTGGTCAGGGAAACTTTACTGTCCTTCACACTGTTTGTAGTTTGGCTGCTATGGCAATTTTTTTGAGCACTCGCCTCTGGTATTCAAAAGGAAAATTGTCAAGTACTCAGCAACTCAGGGTTTAAATCAGTGGGCCTCAGATTTCCACTTCCAAACAGATGAATACAGAGGAATTCATTGATTTTAAAATACATTGCTATCTGTCAGCTAATCTGATCTCTCCTTGCCCCTTTAATATATGGCCCAGAAGAAGGAATGCAAGAGTAAGCATCAAAGGACACATTAAAAAAAACATTTTTGCCATTCCCAAATATGTTTTGCCAGATGTTGGTGTGGTTTTTAAATTCAAATGAGCATTTTTGAGACTGGGTTTTGGGCCAAGTGAAGCAATTGTAGGTGAAGACATTTGCTCTGCAAACCATAATTTATGGCAAGATGTGCAGGGTAAAAGGATTGTGAAAATGTTCTTGTTAATGGACACCAAGGGCAAAATACCTGATTTCTCATATATAACAGAAATGTAAAAGTTCCTCACGTTCTAGAGACACTGCAGTAGTTGTTGGGCTTTCAACCAACAGAGATTAATGCGCCATAAGTTACTCTATTACTATTCCTTAGCATTGGCACAGGCAAAAAACATTTTTCTTGTTTGAGACAGTGGGCACACCTGAAGACCTTACTGATTTTTCCAGTCCATTAACTTCCATCATGATTGTTGCCTTTGAATCCCAAAGGATGACATCTCTTCCACTGACTAAAGAGCCCCCGAAATCCACCCCTGTATGACACAGAGGATCATTCAGGAGCGGAGGAATGCACTCCTCCATTTCCTGCCCTCTGCTTCATACCCTGGGGCACAGACCCACAGCACTGCTGCTCCCCACCCCCTCCCCAGAAGATAATATGACTTCCATCCTTATGAAACTGGATCGTCAAATTGTCCTCATATTCTGTTGTTGGGTGGTTTTTTTTCTTACTGAAAGACGCTACGATATTTCATGTTTAATAAAAAAATGATCCCACTTACAAGGTTTGCTCTGTTGTATGAACAAGATGAAAATTTCTGACCTCTTCAATTTAATAAAATCATAATATGTATTTTATGTGTGTTCAAAAACCAACCATTCCGAATCATGGAGGAAAACTCCTGTCAGGGCTGCTAAATATAAAGGTGGTAGACTTAGTTCCAGAGTCTGAAAGTGCTGGAGATAGGGAAAATAGCTTGACAAACAATGTGAAAGTATATGTTTGTCCTGCTCTTGTACCATTCCCCAAGCCTTTGCTACTGATCTCTGTCAGAGAAACTGTGCTGGGACATACACAGACCTTTGGTGTGAAGCACATGTATTTTTATATACATACCACGTACTCCCGCTTATAACCACTTCCCAGTAATGCCGCCCGCTGTCAATGAACACGTTGCCCGCTACTCCGTAGCTCCCTTGGCTCGTGAATCGCTCTGGTGTGTGACTCTTTTTGGAGGATGTTTCATCACGTTCCACTGTCAAGTTATCATGAGACACTTTCAATTTTCTATGAGCAGATTTGGGGTCCAGTTTAAAGGGCTGACCTAGAGAAGCAGAGACAAGGATGGCAGAAGAAAGGTTTGGCTTTGATTTTGAAAAGGAGAGTGGATTAGCAAGCCTCTAAGAAGCCCACAAGATTACATAACTATATTAATCTCCTCCTCTGAAGTGTTCTTGAGATAGACTAATCTATTCTGCTCCCTGCAATAGCTAGTTTGCATTGTCAGTTTACTGTCAATCTCATTGTGCACTAACTTCCCCGTGTCGATAATCCCTGAAAAGAGCCCTGCATAATCATCATGCCCATTATCTCTGACCTAGAGGTAACCTGAATACTCTAATTCTTGCATGTAATTGAAACCAATATACATGCTAATAAAGGTCTGAGGGTTGCTTTTTTCACAGCATATTAGATTTAGAAGTAGTTGTGTTCTATTGATTCTCTAGGGATAAAGCTCCATAATAACATCTTCATCGTTACTACAAAAAGTATGATTTCAAATCCCACAATATGAGTTTGAAAATAGGAAGAAGAACTAGCCTTGTCTGTTCGTTCACTCACAGCTTTATTTATAACAAGCACAGTCAACAATTCAGGATCGCTTTGGAAGGATGCCCATATGGTGCTCGATACTGTGCGTTAAAAAGAAGGAAGTGAACTGTAACATGGTCCAGATAATATGGTGTAAAAACATTACTGAGGCTGTTGCTCTTGGCAAGTCTCTTCGGCTGTAGCACAAGGTTTGTAGACAATAACAGGAAACTTTTTGGTAAACTGAACCCTGTAGATGTATAAAGCCCACCACAATTCTGACAGGCTTGCTCATTGTGTCAAAAAGCAGAACAATCATTTACCTCCGCCAGGAGACAACTAGGAAAGTATGACTCCACGAGTGGTCCAGCAAAGCCCTTTTCCCTTCTTACTGTCTTTCATATCAAGGGGAAAAAAACGTAAGTGGAATATTTGATGACATGCACAGAAAATAGAAGTGAGAGCTCTCATGAGGTCTGTGTGAGGCACTGACACATGCGCTTCAAATAAGACATAAATTGTTCAGAGTTATCTACTTTTGCAATGCGTATTTAGTTATGTATTATGACCAAGTATAAAATAAACCCATGAGGAAGTATCTGAAGGCACATTTTACCCGCTTTTTCTTACTGCTCGGTGGCCGAAAAATACCTACGGCCTGCCTCTCTAACTGGTTAGTAGTCTTTGTGTTGCTGAAGCAGTGTCTGAAGGGTGTCTTCCTCGGTACTGAATTGGATCTGGTCACATATTTCTCAACTGTGACCCAAGAGATAGGTTTTGTGCCAGACTGGGTCGCCAAGAGGCGAAAGGATAAAAGATTGCCATTTCCAGCTGGGTCCTCTGGTTACGCGTTTGCTTGTAGGCTACCAGGTTTAACAATACGCAGATTCTTAGTAGCAGATGAGGGGTTTGTATGAGGAGCTTTTACACAGAAGTGCAAGCCAGGCTAATAGCAGAAAGGAGAAAATCAGGAATGAGTACATGCCATTGCCGGCAGCCTCCTTCTTGCAACGCTCAGTACCGACCCTCTTTGAGCACCTTCCCCTACCATAAGCAGGTTTCAGAGGGTGCACAAATCCCAGTGTTCCCTTTCCAGTGCTCAGAGCTGCCCGTGATGACTACATGACTGAAAGATTGGCTGGGACACAAGAAGAAAAAGGCTGAAAAGCAGTCCTAAAATTGCTATACTACATCTGCTAATAATTTGTGTAACCATTGTTTTTTTGAAGTGGGATCTCTGACTACTTTACCACCTTGTTGAATTCCATAAAAAACTGGGGGGGATGGAGCTAAGAAAGTTTTCCAGTGTCCTAAGATCATTTTGGAGGATAAAATTAAACTAGCAATTATCTTATGAACACTAGACAAAAATAAAATGTTTCATTGCAAACATAAGAAAAGTTTTTGCTTTGTAGAGGAAAAAGAATAGAGAGGACATTAAAACAAAACCACAAGAGAGTAATTTCAATCTTTTCACATGTGATGGCTCTGTTCCTAAATGGTATTTCCAGTGACTGAATTACAGATGCTCCTCTCAAAAAAAAAAGTAATTTCTGCATTACTGAAGACTCTGGCAATCTTGAAGTGAGTTAAATAGGTGGCTTTCATTGTGGGAAGCACTTTAAACGAGTTAAGCTTCTCTGTACTCTTGTTTCTTCCAAAGATCAACCCTAAATAGGAAGGCAAGAAAGGAGAAGAATGCGTGCATGCCGGTTCTCACGTTACTCACTGTTTGTCTTGAGCTTGCCAGGCTCGCTGCTTCTGCTGCCCGCCTGATTAATGGCCTTAACAATAAAGATGTACTTAGTGCCACTCTGTAAGCCGTGCACTGTGTAGTGGTTTTGTTTGATATTGGGAACAATCATCCAGCTGTCGGCTGAGTTGCATAAACCTGCAATGTCAAACGGAGCACGTCAGTCATGACATACTGAACACTTTGTAAGAGAGGAACACTTAGGGCACTCCCGAGCACCCCACAACCGATACGAATTTTGCTTCTGTACCTTTTAAAGTGTTGCCACATTTACTGAGTCGCTACTTAATGCCACTAACTCATTTCATCAGCCTTCATCCAAGGTACCTTTTAAGTTCTTGCTATGTGAAGTCAATCATAAAAAATGGACATTTAAGAAATTACTCAGTGGAGGCATGAGCAGTCTGAGATTTTTCATATCCCAGCACAGGGAATTCTTTATTGCTTAAGAGCTAGAGGATTATGGAGATCCCATCAATCTACTGTTTGGATTAATGAACTCATTCTAAGCCTCAGAAAACCAACATAAGCAGTAAAGCTAGGAGGGCTGGGCAGGCACCTTTGCTGACAGTCCCCAGGTGTGCATTCTTCAGGACCTGAAGCAAATCATGGGAGGCCCCACAGGGCCTTGTGTGGGCTCCACAGCAAGCTTTGGCTCTTACACTCCAGACTTTGCCAGGATGTAATCTAAGCCAGTAAATTCAATGGATGCAACTTTTTGATTTATGTCCTCATGGTTAGATATCAGCTGGGGACAAGCTGGCTAATTTTCCAGTTACAAAATTTTTTGGGTACAGTTGATGCTTACCGCAGAAGTATCATACATAGGAAGTACGTAAAATAAGGAAGGAGCAATATCATTTGCAAACCACAAAAATACTCCATTAACATGAACGTATTCATCTACATAAATTTTTCCTGCTGTGATATAACTACTATGGCAGTCAATTACCCATATTACTTACTTTACATTTCAAACAGCTCCTGATCTAATGGATCCCAGTCTGATAGCTTTCTTAATATAAATATTTACATAAACAACAAATTTAACATTCATGAAGTTTATATATATTCACATATAGCTTTTATACAGCTATACATCTAGAAAAAGATATATGCAGAGGCAAGTGTATGTATGCGTGTGCATATGGAAGGCAGGAAAACTTAAAAGAAAAATGCTTGACTAGATTAGGAACCTGAGAGACTTCTTGGTCTCTGCTTTTACTGGGCATAGATGATGTTATGAAAACTACTATATTATTACAAAACAACTTTCAGCTTTTAACTCATGTTTTACTAGGAAACCAGTTAAGTACCAGTGAAGAGAATCTTTCAGAAGACAGTAGTAATTTCAGCTCTGTGTATTAGGCCATAAAAAACCTTTATGTAAAATATAAATTAAACGGCTACTGGACACAAAACTTGAAAGAAAAAGACCTGTGATACAGGTTTATAGACTCATACACAATTCATAACCACACTGGGAGATTCCTTCCCAATTTGGGATGTGCTTTTCATAACAAAAGATCATTAGAAACAGAGCTCATACCCCGAATTTCAATCTAAGGATTATGTAGCTCTTGTCTCAAAGTTCACATATTGCATAGCATCCTTGAGAGGCACGCAGCTGTTCATCCTGCTGTGCAAATGGGTAACTCGGGCACAGTTTCAGGTGGGACTCATGTCGCTTCGTCATCTAACGAAGAGCTGCAGTACCTAACGTATTTTTCTGGACTCTGAGGAGAGGCAGAAATGAGTGAGTAGTTTCTTTCACTTCTCCAGGTGTGAATATCCTACCACAAGTACCTCTCTTTTCTTGGCCACAGTGGAATCCTAGGTGACTAGTGTAGGCGAGATCTCTAACTTCAGGTATTTGAAATGAGGAGAGATGAACCCCCCCCTTCCACCCTGATTTGAAGGCTTGAAGTCTAAGCCTATGACTGAACTCACACATGGCTTGTCCCCTTTGGATCATGATTTACCAGAATGAGAACATCTCTTTGTTGCAGTTTTCTGGTGTAAAGTGGGAAAACCAGAATTCCACCATGTTCCTTATGCTCCCACCAGTGAGCATCCTGACCACATGTAGCCTCCCTAAACAGCAGCTACAAAGGATTCAAACAGTTTGCTACATGTGCATAGAAGCAGCAAAGAAAAGCAACCTTGCGGCACTGTTTTCTCAAGACTATTGAAAAACTGATGATATAGAGCAGTCATCTGTCTACCTCCTGAAAAAAGAGAACCCAGTGAAAACCTCACTTGTGCCTAGAACCTGTAGTAAACTGCTTATAGCAACATCAGTTCACATCATGTTTCATGAACCATACTTTACTTTTTAAATCTGTGTGTGAACGGGTTCCCTAAGAGGAAGAAAGGAAATAAAAGCAGCAGTTTCCTGGCATAGAATATTCCACTGAATGCTCATAGGAATCCTCATCTTTTCCCAATAGAAGTTTGCCACAGGTAAATGCACAGCTGTTCTGTAGCTGAACCACCACACTGATTTTGCACTGAGACCATCAGTTACCTGACTCATAGGTGCTATTGCAAAATAAGTGTTAAGCTAAAACAAAACAAAATGAAGCACTGGATTTAGAGTGAATCCAGGATGACCAAGGAATCTTTAGCTCTGATGCCTTTGGTGGGGTATCAAACAACATAGGGTGGTCAGTGGGATGAATCCAGACAGTGGTCCTGGAAATGTTTTCTCCTTCCACAACTGCAGTTTGAAAGCAAAGGTCTATGGTATACATAGGCCATATATAAAAAAAACCTTATGCAGACACTGAATTGCCCAGATTTTTGCTAAATCATCTCAAAATTAGATGATGTCATCTACAACTCTCTAAAGGGGATGTTTTTCAGGCTTGCATTACACTTTTTACGCTACCCTCCACAGGCTGATCACTCCTTATGGAAGTATAAAACTTGGATCTAAATAGGTATATGAATCACAGAATCACAGAAACACTAG